AGGAGATTTCTAAAGCAAATTGAAACWTTTGTGTCTAAAAGTTTGGTACCCGACCACAAAATTTATTTTTCTATGTAATATATATGATCCCATGATATCATCATTTCTCTTCACGCCAGGAGGCGCATAAGGCCCTACGTTTATTGCTTAACATATGATCATCCCTGATGGTCCTGATGTATTTCCCAGCAACTGTGATCTCTACCCAAGTAACTTAGAATGCCGGCTCCTGATTCTAAGGTCTTCTAAAATACCCCTACTGTCTGGCACAGATGGGAATGACGTTTTAACCCCGCTAAAACATGCTAAAATACTAACATGATTTAATTAAAAAATCCTTGTTTATAGTTATTAAAAAGCTTTGTTTATTCATTTCGGTCGGACATGGTCCACCAGCATTCAAAGCGGTCGTGTTTTAGATTTTTCATATATGGAAAATGAGGCGACTTTGAATATCCATTCGCAATCCGTTTCCATCAGTCGGTTTTAAGGTTGAATCTTACAATATTTCCATTCATATATTTTCATTCATATAGTATAAAGGGATAATAAAGAGTAAGTTTTTACTTATATTATGATGTATTTTATTTTCAAACACGAGCAAAAGCTCGAAAGGGATGCTGGTAGAACATGTCCATTTAATGGACCCAAACTCTCCGATAATATGACCAACAATTATGCAGTTTTTGTAAAGCTAAAGTCGGCTATTGTTTTGAGGGAGATCAGACTTGCCTCTTTGCTAACGTCTGAGTGTTTGCAAAGTAATATTACACAAGAATTCGAGCGATTATTATACAAATTAATAATTGCTTTTATTATCGTGTTTTGATAATTGCCCACTCAAGAAACATGTGTTATTTTCCTTTATGTTCGATCTAATTTTAAATCCGATTAAAGATAGTCAAAATATGAAGAGCTTTTACCTGGAGCCATTTGAGTTGTAGCAATATGAAAACAACATGAAATCCTTAAAAAATATAAATATCATGACGTAGGCATATTGTAAGTGTTTTAAACAAATCAAAGTGTAATATCAATTCATTCTATTCTCGCGTTCTGATTGGTTGAAGATTGTGCTTATAAATGCATTCCCCCGAGGGGGTRAAGCGTCTTTTTATTAAATCAATCAGTTTTATTTTGAAAACATAAGGGTCATATATTTCTACTGTTCCTACATGATATGAAATATTCCCGCTTCGTTTTATTATCGATTATTTTTTGAATTAATTTTTTTCTTTTTTGTGAAAAAAATTGTCATTTCCAAKATATCATTTCATATCCCCCTTATTGCAGAGACGTTGTCAAAAAAGACAAAAGTACATTTGTACTTATAGTATCACAACCAACCGCCACACCTTGCAAGCCGTATCGCCATTTTAGGTGGACACGAAAATGGCGGATTCGTAGGATTTCTGAAAGTGAGCGAATTGTCTTCCATCCTTTCAGTTTTGACAGAAATACCTTTAACTAAGTACCTCACAGGTACTATCAATCTATAATTTATTGTATGCTTGACGCATTTAAACGTTTGTAAACAATAACACGAGCGCGCGCTGCATTGTGGTTGGTTGGGATTCTTTAAGTAAACGAAATAAATTGAAAAAAGAAAATCACTATATAGCCATTCCTTTTTTACTAAATGGAATTCTTCTATTTCTTAATGACTACTTTGCAATT